TGTCTGCCTGGATCCACATCTGAAGGTGGCCGGGCCAGCTGGCCTCTGGGCTAGAGGAGGAAATAGTGACTGAATGAAATCATCTGGTTCCTTGTGCCCGCCCTCTGCCAAAACCACCAGGGAGCTTTGAGAGAAGACCTGGCCGACCCAGAAGGTGGTGGTATGTAAATAGTTCTCAACCTCTCCTTAAAGCTGGTCCCTAACCCTCCCTCTCAAGATTGGAAGTGACTTGACCTTTGAGTCTTTGAACTCAGGCTCTCTTTTTCTCAGAGAAAACTGCTAGACCGACCCCCCCACCCCTGAGAAAAGAAAGAAAATATTCCCGCCAGATAATTTTCCATCATCAAAGTTTTTTTAACCCCATTTGTTTCTTTCCAAGGACCAGCTCTTCTCATTGTTGTAATTATAAGCTGCCTATCTTAAATTGGATGTCTGTGTGCCTGCAGGCTATGCGGGAGTTGCATTTTGATCGTTTATAAAACCATTCCCAAGTGACTGCTTCCTTAGTGGGAGCTCAGAGCCTTTCTTGTCACCCTGACACTGAGGGGCTCGGAAGGGCTCTTTAGTAGTCCCCAGCCCGGTATCATTGGATGGGGATTTGTGTATTACCCTAATTCTGTATTTGTCTGTTGCAGATAGAGATCATACAGATCTTGCTAAGATGATAAAATCGAGCTGGGCATGCCCACTGAGCTCAAGGATAGAGCATTTCCAGGTGAAGGGCCATGACTGTTGGGCTCACTAGCCAGGAGTTTTGAAAAGCAATTTCCTATGAAGACAGTTAACTGAGTCCTGACCCTAATTCTTTGTAGAAAGAAAAGCTGGAGTGGCGGGAAGTTGTGCCAGGTCATTGTAGCAGCTTCTCTTCCTTGCTGTGAAAAAGAACCCTAGAATCCACTGTCCACCGTATATAAGAGAGAAGGCTCTAAGACTTCCTTCCAATTTGTTTTGTTTCTAACTACCTAAAGGAGAGGTTAAGGAATCTTGGTGTCATAGTGGTTACATGTTGGGCTGCATCGGCAAGGTCAGCAGTTCAAAACCACCAGCCGCTCTGCAGGAGAATGAAGGGGATTTTCTGTTCCCATCAAGACTTATAGCCTCAGAAACCCCAGGGGCAGTTCTGCACTATCCATAGGGTTGCTCTGAGGCAGAATCGACTCAACGGCAGTGCATTCGATTTTGAGTTTTGGGGTGGTTTTTAATGGTTCTGGTAGTCAATATAAATATATTCATTCTATTTGTAAATGTTATGCGTTTATATAGTATGTCTTTAATAAATGGTATAAAGACTATTGAGGTTACTGTATATGATTCTTAATGGAATTATTTAAATTCTTCCAATGAATTTTTTAACAATATTTTTTATTGTGAATTAGGTGGCTTGGGGTTTTAATAGACAGATTGAAGAGTAAGTCACAGCCCCAAGCATTTGTCTGCAGACCTGGGCCAGTGGCAAGAATGCTTTTTCTTGAAGCTGTGCTGTCTGGTCCAACGGCTGCTTTTGTGCAGGAAGCCCTGTCTGTAGTGCTTGCCTTGCATCCTTTTTGTTTGAATGCCCGCCTGCGCAAGGTCCTGGAAGTTATCTTTTTGTTTTGCTTTGTTTTGTTTTGTTGTTTCGTTGAAGCAAGTCTGAGAGTGCCCGTGTGGCTGGACAGGGAGCGTGGAAGACCGTCGTGAGCGTGTGAAGAGCACTGTGTTCCGAAGACTTGGGGATCTGAGGCTCACGGCAGTTCTGCTGAGATAGAAGCTCAGAGTGCGCTTGTTTTAGCAGGATTGTGCCTGTCGTTTCATTTCCCCAGGTGGGGAAATTTACTCTTAACAGGTGACCCTTGAGTTGGGAGGAATTAGCAAGTAAGTGAAGTTCTGGTTTGCAATTGAATTTGCCTGTTGTTTTTTTTTAAAAAGGTAAGGTTTTGAAAGGCTGAGGTAGAAGGCACTTGGGGATCGAGGAGCAGTAACAAGGGGACAGTGTGTTAGGAATCGCACACTCCGAGAGAGAGGAGTCAGTAGCACCCAACACCACCCCTCACAGCTGAGGTGGCTGCATGCAGGGAAATGGAGTTGCCATCACATCCGAGACACTGCTCCATATCCCTTGTTTGCCTGACTTTTCTGCCAAAGCATAAACCTAAGTCTCCCCAGAGGGCACACACAGTGGGAAGCATTGGCGAGCTCTCTGGGGCCCTCAAAGCTTACTGGAAGCTGAAGGACCAGCTCCTGTAGCAATGGCCACACACGCAGGAAAGCTCAGCTGGCATGGCCTGCCCGCTGCCCCACCCTGAGGGATACAGTGTGTTGGGAAGGGGATTTGGTTGCTGCTGGGAGGAGGGGGCCTGTGAAGTCTGTCAACTAAAGTGATGGACGCTCAGTCTCTTTACAGACCGTAACCATTGTTCTCCTCAGACTTGGCCTCCACGTTTGTTAACGTTTTCTCTTCCTTTACTGGTTGATCCATTAAAACAACAACAAAAAAAAGCGAACCTGGAAATGTCTGTTTTAATTTCGTCTTTGTTTGTTTCAAAGTTGTGTGAGCATGTAGTTTAAGAAGTTCCAAGTGTGTCCACTTTCTAATCAGTCCCTGACCCCTCGTCCCTACTTTCAGCTCCCCAGAGCAGAGTACTTCCATTTCATCTTTAACTGATCGATATAGTGTTTATTTGGATATTTCCAAACAGCATGTTTCTGTTCTCAGCATTGCTTATTGACTCCCCACCAAGGAAAACGGACAGTTTTGTACTTTCTCAGCATTTCATGCCTGCCCGCATGGGCACACTGTCTCAGCCCCTTCCTTCCAGGACAGCAGCATTGGCTCCTCAGGCGGTGTGTGTTTGCTCTCCTCTCTGTCAACACCGCTTGTCACGCGGCATGTAGTCTGCCGTGCCTGCCTTTGCCTTCCAGTCCCTGCTTCAGACCCTCCGTCTGCGCATCTTCCCCCCATTAATTTGTTTACGTTTTCTGTACTTCACGCTAATTCGACCCCAAACTTTCTCCTAGTTCAGCAGTTCTCAACCTGTGGGTCACCACAGCATGAGGAACTGTATTAAAGGGTCGTGGCATGAGGAAGGTTGAGAACTACTAGGGTAAGGTGACCAGACATCCCGCTTTTGGCGGGACAGTCCCGATTTTTAACAATTTTCCCACGTCCTGCATCATTTTTAAAAAGTCCCGATTTTTGGAAAGAATGCACGACGGTTTTCGGCTGCCATGTGGCTATTTCACCAGGATATGAGTTTTATCAACGGTGTCCCGCTTTACCAATGTTAAAATCTGGTCACCTTACACTAGGGCCTAGTTCCGTAGACCTTTCAATATAGCATCTGGTAATCTCTGGATTGCCCTGGGCCTCCGGGCTAGCTGGTTGATGCGCTGTTGTCTCGGGATCCTCCCTCACCATACTTCTGGGGATCCCCTTCGCCTGTCTCCTGATTCACAAGTATTGCTTCTTGGATGCCTTGGCATTTTGGTGGCGGGTCACTGTCTGCTTCCTTAGAAAGATCATGTGTTTTAGGTAGTTTGGTTCTGGAGTGGTTCAGCTGGGTTCTGCTTCATTTTCTCCTGTCGCCAAGGGCTCCTGTCGAAAGTCTCGTCCATCCTGACTTGATTGCCCCATTCTGCTTTTGACTATTGACACGACTCCTTGTTTCCCTCTAGACGCTTCTCTTCATCCACGTTCACCATGACAAGACTTGGGCACTTGCTAGGCCTTTTCAATCTGGGAGATTTTCTTAAATAACCTTAATGATGGCGTTCTCTCTTCCTTCTAGAATGCTTCATAGTTAGAAGGCAGCCCTCTGACACTGTCAGATAGTTTTTATATCTTGTTTTTTGCCCTTGTCTTTTTTTCCCCCCTTGGGCGTGTTCCTCAACTCAACCCTTGGATTGAGTTGTCGGTTCTGCTATCAAAATGGCTATTTTTCAAGAGTTTTTTTGGTTGTTGTTCTCAGAGTGTTCCTTTTTTAATTGGAATTGTTGACTCAGTTATTACATCCGCGAACAATACAGAAACTAGAAAACAGAACTGCTTGTGTTAGAAGATATTTTCTGACTAAAGGGAGTATCGGCTGACCAACCTCCTAAGCTGTAACCTCGAGCCAGAGAAAAATCATCATCATACAAAGCTTAAACCCTACAGACCCAGTTGTAGATGATATGCACAGCCTGTGTGGGTGAGGTCTTTTGTTGAACGTGCGTCTCCCTCTCCATCACTCATCTGTCAGTTGACCATCACGTACTCTGGTGATCCACATGGTATTGTGATGCTGTCGGATGTGCCACCAGGATTTCATTGACCAGCAGGGTCACGTACGGCAACCAGATGTCAGTCAGGGAAGCCCCCTCGACAAAGGGAGACTAGCAAGACTTGGTGATCTACTTCCTAAAATGAGCCAGTGACCCTGGGGTCACAACAAGAATATTGTCCTGTCCCGTGCCAGAGCAGGAGCCTTAGGCTGGAGCACCCAGAATCTGGAGGAGCCATAGCACGGATGCAGCTGCACCAGTGCTGGAGGAGATGGTGCAGGACGGGGCCTGTTTCCGTCTGTCCCTTGTGCAGGGACCCTCCATGTGTCAAAGCAACAGTCTCTCTCTCGTTTCTTTCTCTGCCTCGGAGTTGCAGTTTCTCTCAGCTTTGGTCTTCCCAGCAAATGCTGTCCTTGAGTTTCTGGTGGTCTTAGGCTGTCTATTTAAAATGAGGGCCCTAAACACTCTTGAGAGCTCTGTGCTTGGTGTGAAGCTTATGAGCCGCGGTCTTCCCTGGCAGGAGATCTGCCTGGTCGTCCCCCTGGGCTGTCTCTGCTGTATCTTGTCTGGTGCCGTTCATCGTAGTTGGTCAGGTTCTCTTAGGAAATATAAAGTCTGTTCTGGGAATCTCCTTCCCCTTTCTGGAGATTTCCAGATGTCTCCCATCTTTGTCTTCTTATATTGTGAAATACCTTCTCTAGGCCCCTGCTCCTTCCCAGAGGTGTCTCCTGGGCCCCGCTTCACAGGAGTATCTGCTCTCAGAGTTCTTAGCAGCTTGGCCGATGTGCTGATAAGAAGAAGGGATCACTTTCAGTGCCTTACTTCTCCTTAAGCAGCCCTGCTCAGAAACTGGATGAACCTCCGGGATGCTGAGACGGGGAAGATACTCTGGCAAGGCACCGAGGACCTGTCCGTCCCTGGAGTGGAGCACGAAGGTACGTGCCACGCCAGTGCCAGGCAGGGCCTCACATCCCGGCAGCAGCCCTCGCAGCACAGCCCTGCCCTCCCACCTGTTGCTGTGTCTGCCTCCTCCCACTCCCACGGCGCACCTGGTGCTGAAATGTTAGCATTAGCTAGTCCATCCCGAGATGGAAGCTAACACGTTGACTTTTCCTCCCCAAAGAAAGTTTTCACACTTACCTCCCCAGAGGTAAAGCAAAAGTAAAGGGTTAATGCCAAGAAACTAGAGAGAGGGAAATGTGCTTTACACAATTGATGTATGTATGTATGGATTATGATAAGAATTCTATGAGCCCCTAGTAAAATGATTTTT